ACAAAAGGCAGCTGGGGTGATAGTTTTTAATGTAGAGGCCATAATTTTTTAAAAGTACTTAGAAATCAGAGACTTGCAGTGGTGTCTGTGAGAATACAAACTTGGCCGCAGACAAAACCCTTCTCTCCTCTGCTTGCACATCTGGGAAACAGAGGTAATGATCGTCTACCTCTGAGTTGCTGGAAGGATACACTGAGATCATTGATGTAAATCCTGGTGGCGAACCTGGAACGAATGCAGAGTGAGTGTTGCTGTTGTTTATGATAGAACCAGGAAGGTAATTACAACTCTCGATGACTATTAAATCCTCGCAGACCTTTTATTGACAGTGTTGCACTTGCTCTAGTTTCTGTATTCTGTAAAGGTAATAAGACAATTATGTTATATATTACACCATTAATTCATTTCAACTAGACTGCCCTCAAATTAATACTAATTAATGATATTTATGTGTCATTTCAATAGAGGTTAGCATGTTTGCTTTGTAATACCACTGGGAGGAAGAAAGTCAAGTGTTGTTTTTTTAAGAATAAAAATGGAGGAAGCTAATAGAAAGTGAAGATGAAATATTTACTTCAAGCATTATTCAGTCACCTATGTGCTGCTTCTTAACAATGAGAACCTCATCCATGATGCCAGGCGGAAGGAAGATCTCTGCCAGATTAGGGTGGAAAAGAGTGGGGCAGGAAGCACATAAAAAAAATCTTGAATGTTTCCAAAATGTTCAATCAGTTGCATTTGTCTGAACAACTTAGGATTCGTCAGTCATCTCTTTTAAATTATTTAGGCGAGAAAGCGCAATTTGGGAGGAGTGGACTCCAGAATTGGCTCCAACATGGTTGATTATTTTCAAAAATCATCGCCCCAGTAAATTAAATTTAAAAAATTAGAGATATCCTATACCTTTTAGTGGTGACACAATCTAAAAGGCTCCCCTTGTACAGAAATCAGAATTTCCCAAATTTGCCAACCACACCATGAGTCAGCTGTAGAAACACCTGTTCTCAGACAGCTCAGGGAACCAGCATTTCTAGTAAGTGGCTCTAGTAATCGGACAGGGCAATGCTTCCTAGCCGTGGTTCTCAGCACTGAGCTTGTACTAGAATCTTCTAGAGACACCAAGGGCAGCAGCAATGATGGATGCCCAGGCTCCACCCCAAAGTAAATCAGCATCTCTGAAGTCGCCCTGGCCACTAAATTCTTTAAAGCTACCCAGATGACGCAGACACATAGCCAGGGCTGAGCAATGCTGTTTCCCTGCCTTGCTACTCAGTGCCATCAGCTGACATGGATGAGCAGCACTGGGGACCTGAGAGAGGGTCAGAAAGGTAGGCCCCGCCCACCCCAGATCCCCTCAGTGGCCATCTGTGTTTGATCAATTCTTGGGGATCTCTGCACATTGAAGGTCGACAAGGCCTTTCTAGTGCCTCAACAGAACACATCTTTACTCCCCCTCCCTCTTCCCATTGCACCACCAGCAACACAAGTAGCTTCACATATTTTCAGGGGTCATTTTCTTTATACTATTGGCCACTGAAAGCCAACTGAAGAGGGATAGGGTGAAGGCTACCTGTTTCAAAATCATTTATTAAAGTATGTTAACAGTGTATACTGCTCTGACCCAAACACCCCAGCAACATGTAATTGGCAGTTTCTGTTTTATGTCCCATAATCAAAGACATTAAGGATCACTAGCATTCACATCTGAGAATTCATTTAGACAGTTTTCTTTAATTAACGATGAAGACACTACAGTTCTAAGTACCAGACAGAATCGGGGGAGGGGGGAACTGAAAATAAGCATAACACTCTAAAGAAAACTTGGAAAAGTGAAACACTTCTAAATAAAAATATATACCTGGCCTGGTACCCGTTACATATATACATAATGCATGTTATACACATATATACAATAAATGTTTTGGTAGCAATACAGACCATGCTTGGTCCTTTTGTACACAGATGAAGTAGCACCATGAGCAGCACCACCATCTTCAGATGATAAACCAAACTGCACATACATGAAATGAAAGAAATATATATGTATTTAATTTGGCCCACCCTGTAGCCAAGAGGTGTAAGGAAAGAGCTTTGCAAGAAAAATTGTCCCAGGAACTACATTCTTACTCCAGTAGAAAAGTTCTAAAACAATAACAAAAGCCCTAGCACTAAAAATGTCTATACAAATACAGGCAAGCTTTCCTGTTCACCGTATTTGTCCTATCATGTGGTATATTGGTTAACATTGGGGAAATTAATCACTTAAGCAAAGAGAGAAACTGAAATGCAGGGTGAATGGCGAAAGTCTAAAACACCAGATCTCTTGGTATATACATCACACATGCCAAGTCATCAACAAACCAGGAAAGGAAGACAACTCCCCAGCTAAGTCATACGTTTTCTAATCTTATAAGCTGATAATAAGCTCCTTATTACTGAAATTCCTCAAGATTAGGGTGAGACACCTTCAATATCCTACTTCCTCCCAGCACTTACATGATGTTCCGGTTACAAGGAGTGAGGGACACCTCAACATGCCACCTGATGCACATTTTCTCTATCTACAATTAGGGGGCTGGATTATGGAGCTATGGGAGGACCTCCAAGGTCTTCTCTGTCTTGGCTTTGGAAATGACCACAGGCACCAGCATTTACCCTTTGATGTTCTACTATCTACAAGAAGGTTGTTTATGCTCTACAGAGCAAAGCTCACAGACTAGAGGTCTTTCCCGAGTATTGGCAATGCCTCATTTCTTCATATCCCTAGCAGCTCATGCTTTCCTCTCCGGTTTCTCAGCAGCCTATGTGAATGCAGCATCACTGCCAACCAACGTTCACCGTGTCCTAGGAACACTCAACTCCTCTGTCAAGTCATTGCAAAGAAGCGATTTCATATTTGGCTTCCATCCATCCTCCTTCACATGCCTTCCAAAGGGTTCTGTCTCTCCCCAATCAAGGTCTTAATTCCCACAGTGTCTGGGGCTTCAACACCTCCTCATGTGATGGACTGACCCACGGAGCTCTGCCAAAGCATTTGGAGCACTTCACAGTCATCCCATTTCTCATGGCTCTTTTGTGTCAGTGGACAATGAGCTCTCTTCCCCTGACTTCAACCACCTCTAGTAAATAAAACTGAAATTTTCAACTACATGGCACATTGCATTCAGGAACATAACAGAGCTTCAGGATTGCACAATCCTGTTTCTTACAGTATAGTACAGTTGTTTCTTAACACTCTGTCTCACACTTAAAAGGTAACTAGCTAGGAGACAATAGTCAGGGAAGGAAAAGTTAGAAATCTCTACCTCTGGCTAGATGATTTTTAGTAAATGAACATTTGCAGTCAACCTAGATTAGTCAAGAGAGTCCCTGACCTTTGAAAGTGAGCAAGAAATAGCCACCAATGTAACATCAGTACAGTATTGACTCAGGCGGTTGATTATTAATGGATTCTCTTCACTTCTAGCTGGTTCTAGGACCTTTTCTTTTTTGTTGTTGCCCAGAATGAAGATATCATCAAAGTCATGAAATATATTTGTTCTCTCCACAAAGGGAAAATTTTAAAACTCTGCCAAAGTCTCCAAAAAAGAATGCTATGAAAGTGGTCTCGTGAAGAAAAAGCCAGTAATTTAGAGTTAAACAGAGGCCACCTGAATCCCCATTAATGTGAGCCCTTAGCTGGCCTACAAATACTTTGAAACGGATAAAAGTCAAGTCTCCCCAACAGGAACTGAACACAGGGACTCAGCAGGGCCCACGTAATCATTTGGTCTGGCCCTGCCAAGGCATTAGAGGTGAGTTAATTTAATGTTTGACCAAATATTTCAAAATGGTGAAATTTGATACCACTTTCAAACCCAGCTTAGGGACCACTAGAGCACCTTAGATAAGAATGTCTACCTTTATGCTATTTAACTGAACAAAACAGAGAACTAGACACCACGAGATGGAGTTTTCCAGTCTGTTCATTTCTATTCTGACCCAGAATTGGTTGATAATTCTGCATGCAGAGGTATCTCGGTAATAATCAACGTTTAGGTTCCTTGAGAAATAATAACTAGCTTCACAGGAAAATGATCGGGGCTGACTTAGTTCATTGATTTCTGTTTGGAAGGAGCAGGATAGCCTACACGTCTCCTACACTAGTAAGAGTATGAGTCAGAATACTTGAAAAATGAAAGTTAGTTTGACCAACAAAGTGTTTTTCATAAAAAAGTAAAAAAAAGTTCTTATCAGATTTTTATAATTGGTAGTGTTTTCTCCTAATAGGAAATGATGTAATTCAGCAAGTTCCTTGAAAACAATGGATTCTTATGACTACAGACCTATTTATCTTAGAAATTGATGAGCATGCAAATGATTAGAATCTGCAACAATGAACATTGTACAACAGTCTGTGAGGAACAGGCAGGCCATCCAGTTGAATTAGCAGTAACATGGGGCCTCAACAGTGTGAGGGGTTCCATTTATCGCCCCTTCCTTTTGAGTACAGTACCCCCAACCCTGGCCCCTTCTTTTAGCCCACCCCTGCCCAGGGAGCACAATCCTACAGAAAAATAAAATGTTGCTCCATCAACAGTAGGGCTGGGAATTTCTGATACAGAGTTTACATAGACGCCGAGGGAGCCTGATATTGGCATTACTCACTTAACTTATAGAAGTTTCCTGGTAATAAGGTTAAAAACTTTGTAGGCAATACCTTTAAGTTCATTGCCATTTTCTATTTCCAAAGGAAAAGTTCCAAGATATGAGTACTTTCCAAAGAAGAAAAGGATTAACATTTTCACTGCTGGCTACATATTTCAATAGCTGGTCATTCGGCTTTGATGGGCTCTCTGTACACTGGGTTTTATTAACTAATCACTAATAGCCTAGTACCCACAAGGGCAAGCGTTCCAAATTACATTCAATTAAGTCATGAAACACTGGAAGTTCTCAGAAAGCATGAGATAAGCTCTTAAAGAAAGTGACATGTAGCTCTGGTCATGACCAAAAAAAATTAAAAAATAAAAGTTTCTGGAATTTTAATTTCTGGTTAGAAATTAAAGACAAGTACTCACTTGTCTTAGTATCTTTCTTGAGACAGTATAGGAAATGAAACATCCTAATGTGTGCACAGAAGAAAATGGTGCAATGTAGCAGGAAGCTTACAGAAATGGGGGGAGGGGAGAAGAAAAGATCAACAGTCTCTAGTTTATTATGAATAGACAGAAATTTCCAGAATTTACAAACACCCACATTGTTCATTCCAAAGAAAGCTTTTGATTTGAAGGGATTGCCCATGTCTCCTTTTCTGTACAGTATGTACAATGGAAGACTTTGATTTCCTTTTCTTACCTTTCGGCTTCCAATCAATTGCCAATGTTAAGCTGACACTCGAAAATACCCAGTAGACTATATACCCTTCTTCAGTTCAATTAACATGGCCTATTGCCTTACAGGAAAAATATAAAATTAAGATCAATTCTTGTAAGGATCTCAACTCAACACCAGGGCTATAATACAAGAGATAGTATCAGCAAATATAACTATACAATTGAGAACCACCTATGGCACTATGATTCTTATATTATTTTTCTGAGTTACAATCTTAAAACAAGGGCTGTACCCTAGTCTACTCTTGTTAGCCTTGTTTTAAGCATTTGCTCCACTCTTTACAACAGAACATTGCATACCTCAGTTCCACATCCAAAAAAAAAAAAATGTGCGCTGTAAGAAATGTTACATTTTAATTAAAAAAATTACACATATAAATCAAAACCTACGTTAAATATTTAACACTCTCTCCACCCAACGTGAACCGTTTTGTGTGAAATAATTTACAACGATGCTCTGTCGCACAGTTTCAGCAGCAGATGAAATGTATCGTGTAGATGGTGATGAGAGGAAACCCATTCTCTCGCAGCATGGGGGGCACAGCAGCTCACGTGGCCAGCTAAGTCCTTACGGTTGAAGATGAAATGTATGCAGACTCCTTGTCCCGGTGTCACAGTGCTTGTTTTGCTTGGCACAATGAAGAACGTGCAGTTCAGTCAACGGACTCCTGAGGATTTGTAAAGTAAACAAACTGAAATGGAGGCATCGTACCATCTACAGAGGAGGAAGGTGTGAGGTCCTGGTTGTGAATCATGAAATAGTTCGAGTCTGGGTACCCATGAGTTAGAGGAGGATTTGCTGAGGTCATTTAGGTCTTCATTCTGAAAAGGAAAAGAAAAGAATTCATCACCTGGGCACCTGGACATCACTTGCTACTAGACAGTAAGTCCACCTGGATAGAGAGGCAAAGTCAGTCACAATCAACCCTAGAACTCGGGTTCCTATTTCCATGGCCCAGAGCTCTTTCCAGGAGACCATGCTACTGGTTCCCTTCACCTTGGCCGAACACTCAGCTCTAGGGTGGTTGGGATAAATCTGGGATGACTTATTGGGAGAAACCTGGAAATACAAATAAGGTCAAATCATTTCTCTTTTCTCTGTAAGATCATACACTGGAGATCAGTTTCTTTCTACCCCCCACCAAGCCAAGCTTAAAAAACCACCTGTTCCACTGCCACACCACCCATCGTTGATGTGTCGGGCCTGCAGGGTCCCATTCTCATCCTTTGCAGTGCATGGTAAGGAGCCAGCTCATCTGATCTTTTAGGATTGTCCTATGAAACCCTGCAGTTGTTAGGGTTTTGCTTTAAAAAGAAGGCCTATTGCCGAAACCAGTTTGGCTCAGTGGATAGAGCGTTGGCCTGCGGACTGAAAGGTCCCAGGTTCGATTCCCGTCAAGGGCATGTACCTGGGTTGTGGGCACATCCCCGGTGGGGGATGTGCAGGAGGCAGCTGATCAATGTTTCTCTCTCATCGATGTTTCTGACTCTCTATCTCTCTTCCTTCCTCTCTGTGGAAAATCAATAAAATATATATTTTTTAAAAAAGGCCTATCATATCAGATGAACTGAAGTCACAGGCACAAACAGTACTGTGTGCTTAAATAAAATCAACAAACTGTATTTAACTTCTTTTTTTCTCTCAAAATGCAAGAGTCCAAAGCAATCACAAACTCAAAGTAGTCAATATTAAGTCAGCAAACAAATCAATGTGATTTGGAGGTTTCAGAAACTTAGCAACACAAAAATACACAGTGCTTTGATGTTCTTACGATCAAAACAAAAATGTACACTACAGTTATTGTGGAAAACTACAACAAAATAGGGCAAGCAGGTAACAGTGAGGCTATATTGAATCTTCTTTTGGTTAAAAGTCACCTGCAAATTTTAGAGTTTGAAATCACAAGGCTTAACATTACAAAATCTGAAATCAGGTTTTAACTTGCTGTTGTTTGACATGAGAATTTTAGACACAAAAGGAAACCCAAGCAAAACAGACCAAGTTAATCATTAAATTAAAAAAAAAAGATTCTGACTTAGGTCGAATAGAATAAATTATTCTGCTGGAAGCACATTTCTTTTCTGCAATTCAAGAAGGCAAACCTCAAGGGGCATTATCCCCTCCCCTCCAGTGAGTGGATCCACCTTTTCAACCTCATAAAAGTTCCTTAGGTTCTCAAGTATCAACATTAGAGAGTCTTTCTGGCATACATATTTTTCATGCATTCTAAAGTTCTCTATAAATATCAACATTTATAGAATGTCCTAAATAGAGCAGTTAATTAATAAAAACTTGTTGAATTAGTAAAATGGTTGCATTAAATACTATGGAGACTACAAAGCTGAATTGTGCTACAGGCCCTGCTTTCTAGAAATTCTAGAAAGGAAGCTCCATTCACAAAGAGATAGAATGCAGAGTAGAATGGGGTGAATTCCACAGTAGATGCACAGGAAGAAAGCTCTAGGTGCACCGAGGAGGGAAAAAATACTTTAGCTAGGAATAGAAGGGAAGTACCTCGTTAACACACTTGGTTTGGTTTGGAAGACAAAAACATTTTGGGGATGTGGACAGAGGGACTGTGTTTATGTTGCTTCCAGTTGCATCTCCAGAGCTTAGCACAAGGGCTGGCACATAGCAGGTACTCACTAAATATGAGCTGAATGAATGATAGAGACAAAGCACACTCTACTGGAAGCACATAATGAAACAAAGTCCAGCCATGGATCGACAGGTCCAGCGAAGAATGTGGCTTCGTTGGAGCACGAGGCATCTGAAAAGGGGTAGAAGGAGTTAAGTCTACAAATGCAGATTGGGATAGATGGGGAAGAGCCTTGATTGGCAGGTCAAGACACCTTTATCTAAGTATATGGATAACAAGGACATACTCTGTGATATGATCAAAGTGCAGCGGTGATAACCAATGTCAGCTGCAAGGACAGTAATGGCTTTTAAAACTCACACAATGAAAATGTTGAGCAATATAGCTGTTTTGTTTTTTTCTCTTTCCTCTTGAAGGAGGGTATGGCTGAGATCAGTCAGCATTCACTATTTATGTAGTGGCTCAGGTAGGTTGAAATTTACCAAATGAGACCTCAGTATTATGAGGAGATTTCTATTTATTTTAAAAATATTAACTCTACCCTTAAACAATAGGTAAATGGCCTATTATAAGGACTTGACAAGCAGACAACACATGACAAAAAGGCATTCCAGGGTATCCCTTAATTGCCAGAGAAACAGGATTGACTTTGCATGGTTTCTACAAGTGAAAGGCTAACCCATCCTCTCACAACCCTCAGAGAATGGTTTACAGATTTCTTAGTTAGTTTCAAGTTTCTCCTGAACTTATATTGTGATCTATCAGATTGTTCCTACCAGAGTATCTAGGTACAGCTTAACTAACACAGTTTCACCGTGCTGGGCTGAAAATGAGGTAGGAAGGCCACACTTTATTAAAGGGCTGAGAGCAACATACTGCCACATGTGAAATGAAGGGCAAGTGAAGGTCATGTGTTGCTTTTATATCTGGCTCTCCTCCAGAATGGCTGAATGAACAGCTTAGCACAGGAACAAAATGTATCCACCCAATCTTATCATCACATGGACCAGATCTGCATGGATGCAGAAAGGAGGAGACTGGGAGCCCGATGAGAAGAGAGAAATCTACAGCATCACCAGCGGTGGGAATCTGCTGCTTTGGGGCACTCTGAACCCATCCCTGTAATTTCCCACCAGTGTGTCTGTTCAAAGAACAGGAAATAAAAGGATATATCAATCCCACTATCTTCCTTTCCTCCAAAGTCTTAGCATACTGTTTTCAAAGCCCTTTATCATGAATCCTGAACACATGTCTCAGTCACTAATGGTACCTGCCGGTGCCATCAACTCAGGAGTCTATGTAAAAGTGAAAGCACCTGACAGGTAATCCTGACTAGGAGGGAAGGGGAATGGAGGGCTATAAACAGGCCATAGAGATCGGGAGACATTACAGGGAATGTCTGAAGTTCACATCTATTTATCTTCGTACAAGGGTGTGTGTGTGTGTGTGTGTGTGTGTGTGTGTAAATATACATAAAGTTTGTATACAGAGTAAAGACATGGATTTTTAACAGACATCCCTCAGTGGGAACTGCCTTTCACTGCGGCCACCTTCGGGTAATACTTATTTCAATCAAGCAGCCATTGTTCGGGGCATTTTTGGAATGCCTTCTCAAGTTCCCATTTCTTTTTCTGCGACTGCCTTCTCAGCCTTGGGTATATTCTTTTGAATGGTCTCTATAGCAGCCAGTCTTGTCCTTCAAAGGCCTATTTGATCTTTGGAGACAGCCAAAAAGCTTTGAGAGCCAAATATTGTGAATAAAGGGGCTGATTAAGCTGGGTAATGGTTCCCAGAGAGGTATTATCTAAAGCCAAAGGACTCCAAAGCTGAAGTTCCCAAAACAGAGCTGTTTACAATTGCCCTGATAGTTTTGTTGGAAAGGAACTCTCATAACATTACAGGCAGACCTTAGCATGTGCTTCACAGACTTAAATTCAGCGGCCGATATCCCTGCCCCTACACACACGTAATCACGAAGGGCTGAGCTTGAATAAAGGAGCTCACTTGAACAGAGGCAAACATGTAGATCATGCATTTTTGTAATTTAGGAATTTGTTTAAAAAGAAAACACACACACACAATACCCATACTGGGCTCCTGCAGTCATTTAATTCAACAAACATCTGTTGTGTGATAAATAAAAATGCAATGATAAGGATGATGATATGTACTAAAAAGCAAAATATTGGTATGTGCATATTTAATGCACTTTATATAGACAACCCCAACTGACTCACACCAACCATACAAGGCAAATATCACTACGATGTTTTATAAATCCAGAAACTCATTTGTGACACTCATAAACTGGACATAAAAAAGCAAAATGTTTCCTTGCAGAAGAGCTGTGCAAATAGCAAATGGTGATGCTCCTCTGATACATCCTCTCTAGTTACATCATTGGGGAATAACTCGGGAGCCCAGAAATATGAAGCACCTGTCATGAGATTTAGTGGCTGGAAATTACATTCTGACAACCACGCCAGCATCGACTGTATCCTTCCGTGTGTCTTCTTGTAAGATAAAACCCACTCAATCCTATTGCCAGTAATGAAAAATGTAATTTCTGAAGTATGATCAAATAAGTCAACACTTGAGCAATGCTACTTGAGACCTATGGCTTATTGCATTAGTGCATCCGGTAGGAATTTACATATTCTGGATGGACCCACATCAACCATGCCTACTACAGCTGAAAAACAAACAAAGCTTCAGCTGCCTTCCACACTGTCAGCCTACCCATGAGTCTTCACTGTGAAAGCAGCTGAAAACAGCTCAAGGTTATGCCTAAAAGTACAATGGAGTGATCAGCCCTCTTTCATCAATGCATTTTTAGTCAAAGCCATTGATTAACAGCTTTTATCTTGTATTTAAATGTGTTGAAACATCCTGCCAAATTGCTGGGTCAAGTGTAACACTGTTATAAATACCTGGTTAGAGCATTACTAACAGTTCCTACTTTTACTATGAAAATGGGAGTAAAATATTATAAGCTACGCAGCTATTATCATATACTAAAATTTAATCAGAAAGTAACTCTTCCTCATCCAACTGTGCTTGAAAAAAAGATGACTACAGTAAAGACTTTTCTTCAAAGGAGATCATTGTTTGAAATTTTATATTGTTGACTCAACAGAAAAATTTGTATAAATAAATTCCTCCTCTTAAAGAAATGTGTTAAAACAGCATATTTCTTTTTTCTTAATATAAACAGCTGTGACT